ACGACTTGTTAATCTAATGAATAACTGATTTGTTAAATCAAATGACAAATTGTGTTTTTGATTGAACCGGCATATCCCTAGTGTAAATATATAAGAAAAACAACGAAGTGTCTTTAAAAACTCTTTTGTGCAGAACTACTTCCTTCCGTCACAGATTCAATTCCCAGTTTGACAGTTTAACAGCTGAGATCAAGCCTCCGTTACCAATTCAAAAATTTCACTTCAGAACTAGTAACAAAGGTGCATTGAATTGCTTTATTGAAAGCTTATTGTATCACTGTATTTAAAGCTCTCTGTATTATATGTAGATTATTATGGGAGAGAGATGGACTGAGCGAGTGTGATTACCTGCATCTGATACAGTATTCATTCTTCAGCTCAGTCTCATATTCACAATAAAACATTAGTTTGAATGTCCGCTGAGGAAAGCGATATCTTTGTCGTGATGTCCTTTCATCTGTTAAGGGTGATTTGCGATGACAGCGCTGCTCACTGCATTTGTTGACTGCATTTTACTAGCTGTTGTTGAAAGCAAAAATAACTTCCTTGTTTACAACAGCGTTTCAGTCTCTTTCAAAATAAAAGTCTTTACTGCGGACTCACTCTATAAGTCAGTGATTCATCTGCGTACCACTAAAGGGAGCCCGTACCACACTTTGAGAATCAGTGATGTAGAGTATTTTAAGTGAGAGATGGACTGAGGGAGTGTGATCACCTGCATCTGATACAACATTCATTCATCAGCTCAATCTCATATTCACAATAAAACATTAGTTTGAATGTCCGCTGAGGAAAGCGATATCTTTGTCGTACTGTCCTTTCATATGTTAAGGGTGATTTCTGATGACAGCACTGCTCAGTGCATTTCTTAACTGCGCCTTACAAGCTGTTATTAAAAGTAAAAATAACTTCCGTTTCAGTCTCTTTCAATATAAAAGTCTTTACTGCTGTCTCTTGTCGCCATCTAATGGCAGAACAATGTCACAAAAATCACCATCACGAACACACACACACACACACACACACACTGTTTCCCAATACTAAATACTACTATGAATATAAAATAGTATTTATTGAATAATAAAAACAACAACAGCCATCATAAAAGTTGCTAGACAGTTTAGTCAAAAGTACAAAGGCAGTGTTCTAATATACAGCAATAAAGTTACATAAAATATAACATGATGAGATTTTGCCCTCAGCCAAACTATTTGCTTTGAAACAAATAATAGATTAATGAGACCAAAGACTGCCCATTAGA